GTCGCTATGAGTCGGTTCCGACTTGATGGCACCTGACAACAACAACAACAAGCAAGAATTAATACATAATCTTGGGCTCAAAGCCTTTACCACGCTGGGAAACCATTTCACATAAATGAAACAATAGTTTACTTGAATGGTTTGATGTTCATGATGCTCAGTAGAGCTGTCCAGCCATGTATCAACCACAAAGGACCTCGGTGCCCAAGGTTATAGAATGGGAAAGTTTACCAAACCCGTATTCCTATTGCCAGAGATTTTACCTGTAATCAAAGTTTCCCTTATGTCTCCACTAAAAGTTTTGGATTGGTAGATAACCCTTGCTTTCCTGTCAGTGTCTACCCAACATCATTAATACAGCAGTCTCTAAAACAAAACTTCTTGTGTTTGAATCCTGTTCTGAAATTTATGAGATTTTTGCCTTCAGGAGGAAAAAAAAACTGTAGGAATTTCCTCTAGAGCTGTTAAGACTGTTAAATGAGTCATGATAAATAAATTATTTAAAACATTACCTAGCTCATGATAAGTGCTCAAAAATATTTTTAATATGATTGTACAATTATACATTTTCAGAAATCAGATAGCATCATGCAAACGTATTATCAAAATATTGAAACAACTATTTGAGTAATGTTTGATGTGGTTAAGTAATGTTTGATGTTAGGTGCTGTGAAGTCATTTCTGACACATCGTTATCCTATGTCCAGCAGAACAGAAATCTGCCTGGTCCTGTCCCATCCTCACAATTGTTATATTTGAGCCCATTGCTGTTGCCACTGTGTCGGTTCAGCTCATTAGAGGTCTTCCTCTTTTTCACTGGCCCTCCAATTTCCCCATGACATCCTTCTCCAGGGGCTGGTCCCTCCAAAGTAGGAGAGATGAAGTCTGCCCATCCTGGCATCTGAGAAGCATTCTGACTGTATTTCTAACACAGATGTGTTTGTTCTTCTGGCAGTCCATGATTCTTTCAATATTCTTCTCCAACATCATAATTCAAATGCATTGATTCATCTACAGTCTTTCTTATTCATTGTCTGACTTTCACATGCTTATCAGGCAATTAAAAATAATCATCACTTCAGACAGATGCACCTCAGTCCTCAAACAGTTATCTTTGCTTTTGAACGCTTTAAAGATTAGTGCTTGTTGTTAAGTGCTGTCAAGTTGGTTCCAACCCATAGCAACCCTATATAGGAGTGACTGGTGAGCTTGAACCACCCACCTTGCAGTTCAAACCAACTTTGCAGTGCAGGACATTAACCCACAGTGCCATGCCAGGATGGAAACTACATTAGGGTTAGAAAACAATATCTCAAGGAATTTAGAATCCAGTGATTAAACCATTCTAGTTTCTTCAAGGGTCTTCTCAGACAGAACTAATTTGCCACCAAATCCATTATCACTTTCTGGTAGTCAGTAAGAGGGCAGGTCCAATGACTTTGTGAGCCACCCTTAATCATGAATGAACTTGAAGGTATTGGACAATTATTCTCATCCAGTGCTTTCATTTGAATTCTCATAGAAGCAAAGCCAGCACTAGCTTTCTGGTTTTTTTAGGATATAGCTGTAATGGTATAATCTTTGTCCTCCTTTCTAATAGGTTTAGCAGTGATGTATCTAACTATCCTCTCCCACCTCTCTCTGTGTGTTGTAGCCACATCAGTCTTCTGTTACAGCATCAAACCTGTCATGTTCCTTTGCATTTCATTACCTCCTCACATGCTGCTTACCCTGCCTGGGATTCTCTCTGCATATCTTAATTGGACTTAGACCACTTCAGATTCCTGCTGAAAGTTCAACTACTCGTAGGCATACTCTCTAGTTCTGTCACAAACTTCACTGCATCTTTACTACATGCTCTGAGTCCTGATGTGGCACTGGAGGATAAACACTCAACCTCAAGGTCAGTTTGAACCTCAAGTTTGGTGGTTCAAACCCACCAGGTGCTCCTCAGGGTCCTTATACAGGATTACTGAGTTGGGACCAGCTCAATGGCACTAAACAACAAGAACACCAACATGTAATTTTTGTAGGCTACTGTCACGATAGTTCTGGCTTTGAAGACTGACTTTATAGACCAGTACATTTACCTCCATCACAAAGGACTCTTGTTTTTGGAAATACCTGTTTCCAAACAGCGTAAGTCCTTCACACAAGCCAATGACTTATTTCTGAGCTCAGTGAAAACAAAAATGTGATCTACATTTCAAAAAAAAAAGTCTATGCTGAATTAATTGGGAGACACTATTGGCATGCTGTGGGATAAAACACTGTACCCCAAGATTGATTTGAACCACAAGGTTGGTGGCTCAAACTCGCCAGCCACTCCTTGGAAACCCTATACAGTGCCTCTATTAGTTGGAACCATCTTGATAGCACTTAACAACAAGTGGGACCTCAAAGTAACACTGAGGTCAACTATGTGCAATTTTTACCTTACCTGTTAATTTAAAACCTAACACACAAAAGGAAGATTCACCTGTCTCCATTGTTGTAATCTTGGCTAGACTGTAAGGCCTGGGAAGGCAGATTCCTCACACATGTGTTTGTTCTCGCCTAAAAGGATGCCTGCATTGTTGTTGTTGTTTATAACTGCTGTCAAATTGATACCAACTCATGATGATTTTATCTACAACAACACAAAATATTACCAAGTCTGGCATCATCCTCTCAGTGATCACTCCCTACCACCAAGGGTCTTCCTTATCCTTGCCGGCCCTCAACTGTACCATACATGAAATTCTGCTCTAGAGACTGGTTCCTCCCGAGGACATATTTGAGGCAAGCAAGCTGGACAGTGTTCTGTTGTGATCCAGAAAGTTTTCTTTGGCTAATTTTCAGGAGAAGATTAGCAGACCTCTCTTCTTACTCTGTCTTAGTCTTGAACCTCTACTGAAGCCTGTTAACCAAACATGATTTGAAATACTGGTGACATACTTCCCAGCATCGTAGCAACATGCAAGTAACCACAGTACAATAAACTGACAGATGGATGGTAGCCTGGGTCATGATTGATAAATCTTTGTAGAATGAATTAACTCTCTACCCAGAGTTTACAGGAAACATCTATTTGGCAGTAATACAGAGCTTTGGCATGTGAAGATTGAAGAACACAGAATGTTAGGCCCTTTAGTAATATGTAGACCTTGGTAGCCTATGTCTTTCCATAGAAACCCAAATCAAAATGGGTTTCTATGGAAAGAAAGCTGAATGGAACAGAGTGTGGTGTGTTATAATGATGACTTACAGATATAAAGCAATGTTGTGTCCTTCAGTTCTCTTTTTCAAGCCAAACTTAACAAAAAAGCTGATACCTTCTATTTTTATCATTTTAGGTCGAATGAGCCGGACTCGATTTATCGTTATGCCAACTCATGGAGAAGGACGGCCATGCCCCACAGAGCTTACCCAGCAGAAAACCTGCCCAGTGACCCCGTGCTACAGCTGGATCCTTGGTAACTGGTCTGCATGTCAATTGGAGGTAGGTCAAGTAATGACACTTACAGAAATGTGTTCCGTTTGTCAAAAGCACTTGTCTGGTCAAACATATGTGCTGATGGAATAAATTTCACAGCTCCAGAGGGCTGGCACAATGTATTTTTAATGTAATGAAGAACATAGGCAAATACAACCGAGTGACTTAACCTCATGCAGAGTAATATTGCTAGAACAGAAATAGCCATTCATTAGGCACTGATTCTAATAGGCCAGGTCATGGGACTTTCAATCTGTTAGGCATCCTCCAGAATTCTCTGTTATTTTCATGGTCTATTGGAAATATCAAAGTATCATTTAATTATGTAAAACCCTGATGCTGTGAAATGCACAGCTTGCTGTAGATTGTATTTTTCAGAGAGGCACTTCTAGATTTAGACAAAATCTTGCATATGGGCAGAAAACCAAAAGTATATGAAGGCTATATTTTAACATTATTACACGAACCAAGGTTACTACATTTTCTTCAATGATTACTTTTTTATTGGCCTGAAATATAAATGCCTAGCAACATCATAATATATCACATACCCAGAGCTTTTGCGGGATCAGCAAAGAGCCTCTACTGCATTTTCTCTTTTGCTTCTTGCTTTTTTTTAAATGAAAAAAAAAGCATATTGATTTTTCCATATATTCTTACTGCACTAGTTTATCCTTCAGTTCCTATTTCAAAGCATATTTTAATTCAGTAACAATAATTTTGATTATGCATTAAAAGTGTTGAGAGTATTCTCATAGAGATATTTAGTGTTCCTGTCAGGGTGACATTGTAATGCAGCATTATTATCTTGCAAAAGTTAAATGCCCATGTATTTTAATAGGTCCCAAAGGGGGAGAGAAATTGTGGTACATTTGTTCAGTTTCCATTTGGAAGAAAATAAGGTAGCCACGCTAATTAACTAATTCAATAGTAGCATAATGGCTTTAAATATGAGTACTTTGCCTCTTAGTTGATAATCTTCTGCGTATTTAACGATTTTTAATGCTGTTTAGAATCACATGCAGGTATGAAATATAGACGGAATATTTTTTGTTATAGCTGTAACAGCTGGTGATAGAGTAAAGAAAATAAGTTCAAATGATGCAGGTGCCCATTGCAGGGAAGTGAGAAGAAAGAAAGCTAAGGAGAAAGAAAGCTAAGGCGAGAGAAGAAGGAAAGATAGAGGATGAACAAGCTCCATGTTCCAAGTCTTACTAGACAAGGTGTTTTAGGAACTTACTTTTTTTTTTTTTAACATTGCCTTCTATCGTCTCAGGTGTCTAGAGTTATTCATGTCAGCTAACTTGTCCCATAGGAACATTTTGAGAAAACACTAGATGTAATGTTTCACTTTACTGTCACATACTGCCCTCTCAGCCAAACCACAGAAGCAAGTGGGTTGTGACCATTCTCTGTAGTTTTGCTGGTGATGGGTGGAAGGTAATGCTAGTATCTATTTGTGATGACCAGCCTTGGAAACAACAAGAGAAGCTAACCAGGCTGTGCCTCCAGAAATTTCCTGTCTCAAGTTTCTAGATGGAGTTAATCCTACACACTAAAAATTCTAGTCAATATCAAACTCTGGAATTAGACTTAATCCAGGCAAACCCCTCAAAAAACAACATGACTGTAGTTAATGACTCTTAGGTAGACACTTCACCCAAGCAGTTCAAATCAGTATTCCTCCCCAAGAATCTGGAGTGTAAATGAAATTGATAATTTACCTACTTTGTGAATGAAGTTAGTCAGAAGCATTAGTGAACAATGAAGGGAACACACACACAAACAGAGGCAAATGAGACTATAAATCATGGCGATATTTGAGTGAGTTTTCCCTGAGACGGAGCTGCATTCTGCTGCCTAATTGGAAACTGTGTGAGATAACATAATATGTTTTCTATAAATTGCCATTACTTAAGCTGAGTTTTTTTTTTTTTTTTTTTTTTTGAGTAGCCAATCAAAATGCAGGTGGGCATTCCACACCAAGAAAGAGCACCATGTTTCTCATAGCTACATTTCTGTTTTTCTTTGCATGTGTCATGGATTAACCTACCAAATGCAGATTGGAACCCATTTGCTGAAAGTTGTGAGGATTCTATATATTCAAAAGGTTGTATGCCATCAAGAAGTATCTAATCATAATAAAAGAATTTGCACCAATTCTGCCATGATCTTATGTAGCAAAATATTAGTAAAAAGAAGTGTTCATCTTCAAGCATAATTTTTCTTTTCAGTATTTCTTAATGCTTTCTTTCCAAGTTTTTCATCTAATAGCATGTATCATATACAGATTGATAAAACTGTTTTATATGGTTTAACAGGGCAGGCTCTGGAGTCTTGTTATTTGTCATCCAGTCAATTCTGACTCATGGTGACCCCATGTGTGCAGAGTGGACAGAGCTGCTCCAAAAGGTGTTCAGACATAGATCTGCAGGCTTGTTGTCTAAGGTGCCTGTGGGTAGTTTCAATCTTTCAATCTTTGGCTAGTAGACAAGCACTTTAAAGTTCATGTGACAATGCCAGTTTTGGTCAACTTTCTGTCAATTCTTAGCTTTTCATCTTTTACCAAGTTTCTAAATTCATTAAGCCTGTTTTCATATATATGCATTTTATTATATATATA